TACCGAGTTCGAAGTCGACCTGTTAGGCATTATGCCATCAGACCTCATAAGTAACCCCATTTAGACAAATAACATGCACTGGAGAGTGTAAAGCGTTAGTCAGAGGAAGAATTATACTTTACGTAGATTACAACCGCTGACGTCTCCGATGGCAATCGACGCGTACTGGCCAGCTTGAATGTGGCGACATGGAGTCCTTACTCTATGGAGACTTTCTGCGATAACAGGCTGAAATTCACCTGACTGGCTAGGACCAAGCATAAGCCTATCGCCTTCTCTGATGATGCCTTTGGACAGCAAGCCACACAATACGGTTCCAACATCTGACACGTTGTATATTTCATCAATCTAAAAAATATCAGAAAATGATATTGATAAAACACAACAAAATTAACAATATATTTACAAAATATTACTACAGTTCTGAACAATAGTCAGTTCAAGCTAAAACATGATTTGCAAATGGGAAATGTTTATAGAAAAAGACTCTGTGTCAAATAAGGTGATTAAGTAAGAGATTATGACTTCAAGTCAAAATACCTGATCAGGGAAGGACAATGGGTTAACAAAAGATGTTAGCCATTACTTCGATTCAAACACGAATTATTCAAACACGTTTCAAGTTTATTCCGTTCTTCATAACCTTTATGCCCATAGCCCTTTTCTTCATAAAGTTTGCCTCGACCATCAACGTCCTTCTGCCTCATATCCTTTGCCAAAGTAATTGTTTTAAGGCCTGTATCCAGCTAAGCATCAAGTTAATGAAAATAAATTATTCATTTGGCACTAGCCAACGGGCGTATTATATCTAAAGCAGGATTTTCAACCATCCTTAAGTATAGTTCACCCGCTGAATAGCTTTAAAACTTGCCGCACGCCAGAAAACAAGCTCGACAATTCATTTAGTACAAAATCAACATACGTGAAACTCGCAGTCTTCTTGCATGTGAAGCCGAAGGTCTTCACGAGAAGAATATGGAGACAAAAGGTTCAGAAATCTTTCCAAGTAATCAAAATGTTCACCCGTAACGCTAGAAATCGTGAAGATCGGGACGACTCTAAAACGCAACTATTGCAACTTATAACTGTTCAGCTGAACGGTTAAGTTAAAAAATGATTATAGCTGTTACTGAACTAAAACTCATTTCAATTAAGTCTTCTTCAATAAGTTTATACACGCCGACACACATTTCGATGATTCTAGATACAAGGAAAAAGATGTAGTTCTCTACAACTGTCGACGTCTAAGTGAATCGACACTGGCCTTACTGTTAGTGTTTTAAACTGATGATGGCCAATGTAGTTGGATAAACCGTCGGCGATTATAATAAGGACTACCAACACCACATGCTTGTGTCTAGAATTACTGATATGGAAATTTATTGTTACATTTCTGAGACTTTGGATTATCGTAGCATGATTCAAATTCACGCATGAAATGAGTAAAACAATCAAGGTGGAGAAGTACCGAAAAATATTTAATATATCATTGTGCAATTATCATCATTATTAAAGAAAGCCATTGAAAAATTCGCTAAAATATCAGATATAACATTATACTACGGCGAGAATAATAACAGACGACAGATAAGTCACAGCTGCAGCAGAGTAGCACCTAAGAGGCCAAGCGAAAATGGCGAACAGGAAGATCACATAGGAAGGGTACGAGTACAGACAGAAAGCTATGGAAATGGAAGATACTGAATTATGTTAGACGAGAGCGAGCACATGAATGAAACGCGGAGCCACGCTTAAAAGTTCATACAATTTCCGATGTTAGTAAGGTGGAGCAGTACATAACTAAGGTTTTTTACGTTTGCTTAGAGGTTA